CCCGCCCGCGCCCTGCCCGCCCCGAGGCGCCAGCCCCGGCCCGGAGCGTTTGCACTGAGCAAACCCCGGCCCGCCCGCGGCCATAACCGTTACCGGCACGGGTGGCGCGGGGCTGCTGCGCGGCGCCGCGGGAGGCTGCTTCCACTCGTAGAATCGTTAGGGTTGGAAAAGACCTTCAGAATCACCGAGTCCAGCCGTAAACCCCTGCAGGCTCTGGAGAGCCCGGATGGGGTGCGGAAACCAGGACGGCTGCGCAGCCGCCCTCCAAAAATCCCCCTTGTCTTACCATCCTTTTTAAAAAGGGTATTCTGCCTTGTTGCTCTCCAAAGCAGGTTTTTTGGGTTTCTTTGTCCAGCATATTTTAATTTCCTCGTCTCTTCCCCAGGGTCATTGTGTCCTGCTTTCAAAAGCTGTCCTTGAGAGCTAGAGGAATTACCTTTATTGTATTAAAACTCAATAGAAAATAAGGCTCCCTTCCTTGACTCCTTGTGGAAGAAAAATCATATTTTATTTTGTTGTTTGTCACCTAAAACTTCCTATTCTCCCATCTCAGGACTTGAAGGAGTAAAACTTCTGCAATATGCACAAATGAAACTCGTTTGCCAGGCAGCTGTGCTGGCAGCCAGCTGCAGTGCCAACCGCAGGAACGATGCCGGCAGCCTGACGGGGAGCAAGGCTTTATTGCACACATAGATAATGTTAATTGTCTCTTTGCACTGCATTGACTCTCCAATGAGATAATGCCGTGGTAGGCCTGAACGCCCGAGAGACTAGTTTAGAATATTTCCTCTAAAGATTCGACTTGACAGTTATTGTCACTTATCTCCCACTTGGACTTATCTCCATGGTAAAGATCATTCCCTCTCATGCTGAAGGCCTGATTTTGCACTCTTAGCATCCTCAAAATTCCCCTCCATAGCAGTTCGGGTATACGGGAGATACAACATTGCCAGAATTTTGAGGTAAATTTGCCATGTGAGCACACCAAAAATGCAGCAAGAGCCTCCAATCTCTAAGGGTTATTCAAAAACCAACTAGAACAAAGTTCCTGTTAAATAGCAAAAACACAAACCTGTGGAATGAGGCAAAAAACCTAAAAACACTTGTCCTGTCCCACAAGGATCCCTGGTGTCCCCACGTGAGATCCCCAAGGTCCCCATCCAACACAGTTATGTTCAGCAAAAGGGAGACGCTGCCTGTCACAGAGCCCAAGCTGTGAATCAAAAAACCCTGCTCCTACAAGCAGCCAGCCCAGCAGTGCCTCCAACCCTGGTTCACACAGTCTAAAACTAGGACTCTTCGGTAGCCCTTTCATCCTGCAGAATCGTGTCTCTCCTCAGGCTATGCTCCAGTTAGCCCAAAGTAGCTGCATCACATGAAAATCTCTCTTTATTCTTATCATAAAGATCTACACCAGCTCAAAACTTCTGTAGCAGACACAGAAAAGGCTGCAGAAGGGCAGCACCTGCACCTGGCACAAAAGGGAAGGTTACACAAACTAGTGGCCACCTCACACTTAGATGATAAAGCCAGCATTCATAAATTGGCACCAGTATCTTCCACTTGTCTATTGCTGTTCATCCTTCAGTATTTCAAGTTTTTATCACGCTCACGAAGCACAATCACCTTACCATGTCAGCAGCTGCAGTCGGCACCTTTGTAGCTTTTCTCCCCATCTGAAAATAAGCAACATTAGGTAAATAAACCTTCCTTTTATTCTTTGAAAATTGCACTAGTGTTGCAAACACAGGCCAAGCTATTTTCCCCTGGCTTCACAGCATGCTAGATGAAAATTCAATGTTATCGGGGCAGCTGCAGCCCCAGCACGGGCTGGGGGA